AAGTACCTGCTGTTGCTTGCATCCAACTATGTCATGTGTTGAAGTACCTGCTGTTGCTTGCATCCAACTATGTCATGTGTTGAAGTACCTGCTGTTGCTTGCATCCAACTATGTCATGTGTTGAAGTACCTGCTGTTGCTTGCATCCAACTATGTCATGTGTTGAAGTACCTGCTGTTCCTTGCATCCAACTATGTCATGTGTTGAAGTACCTGCTGTTCCTTGCATCCAACTATGTCATGTGTTGAAGTACCTGCTGTTGCTTGCATCCAACTATGTCATGTGTTGAAGTACCTGCTGTTGCTTGCATCCAACTATGTCATGTGTTGAAGTACCTGCTGTTCCTTGCATCCAACTATGTCATGTGTTGAAGTACCTGCTGTTCCTTGCATCCAACTATGCCATGTGTTGAAGTTCTGCATATGTACTGAAACAGCATACCAATTCACCACGTACATAATGCTTGTGAATGTTGTGACCTAACTCTACATTACTATTTCTACTTTATTAGGTGCCGCTGTGTTGAATGACAAACTGTATCTTGCTGGTGGGTCTCGTGGTCCTATTGGATTAAAAAGTTGTGAAGTTTACACTCCCGAGACTGATTCTTGGTCAACTATCTCTGACTTAAATGTTGGTAAGTAACATGTTCATTTCTTCATGGATGGTAAAGCCTGTTCATGAATTCTTTATTTGTATCTCAGTGTAGGTAAGAGGAAATCAAATTTGTATTTAACTTGTGCTTTCCAATTTAAAGTCATCCTGTACGTAATCCTCATGTAGGTTTCCCAAATAAAGTTTAAAAACCTTCAACTTCAGTGTTCCTATAGCCATATGTGTAGCTCATGGGGTATTTCATATTGTCCTGGTTCTTTAAGGTAGCAACAGGGGAAATCTGGTCAAATTTTCATGTTTTTTTAATAATCGGTATATCACTTTCTTTTAGTGTATTCTTTCAGGACAACTAACAAAAAAAATAGTACTAATGTTCTTTTAGACGCAAATTGGAGAGAAAATTGAGCACAGCAAGCTGTCTTCCATTTTCCATTCAAAATGCAAACAACCACTTAACTATTTACATAATCCAAATGGACAAATTGTGAACAATAGCATTACATTGCTTCAAGTGATATGTTGTCTCTACAGCTTGGGTGTTTGCTATTGTAAATAAAAGCCCATCTTATCAGTTTCCGTTATATTGTCAGTGTCAACAGTTTCCGTATACACACATTCATTGCTGGAAGAAGTACGCTCGCGCAAATGACAAACATTCGCTAATTTTAGTGAAATTGGGGTCTGTAAACAAGCAAAGTAGCAGTGTTCTCCCCAGAAATTTTTCATGGAGTCGGGGCTGATTTGCATAATAATTAGCATAAATTAACATATTGTTTGTCATATGGAGAAATAAAACAAAACCATTTTTTTTCCTATTTATTTTATGTACTTTTTCTGTTCCTTTGCTTGGTCCAGCAATCAGCAACTTTATAAAACCCTGTTCAGTCCCGGTAAATTAAACATGGGGTTGATTATTCTCATTGCTTGTCTTCCGTTTCTGTTGTTTTTTGGTTAAGTACAACAACTGTTACGAGTCATGATACTTACGCTACTATGTTCGAGCAATAATAGTTTTTCTGGCTGAAATTATCCATCTTTATGTATTTTTTTTAATCATCGATGTTGTCTGTTCAACACAATTGTGAACAATTCGAGACAACGGAGGTCTGAATTACGAATTGTCGCCATTGTTATACCACGTAAAATTGAGGCTTTTCTTCCAAGAAATAACACAATTTCCACACGTTTCTTGATTAGAATTCCCGATTTCTTGATAAATATATTATTTTCAATTATGCTTCACTTAATTCATCCGAATATGAGCACGATATGCAATCCGAGTGGGAAGTTTACGCTTGCTGGATCTTACGTGGGTGACTCCATCTTGGATTCACAATCACGAGGTCAAAATTGTTTACATCATAAATATATATTTTTT